AAAAAAAAAAAAAAAAATATGTTGTTCGTGGCTCGGAAAAAACGAGTATATAAATGAAGTTAAAACTTAAAAGAGATTGTGACCTGCAAGATTCTTGCTACCCAAACCCTCCGGCTGTAGTTTTCGTAGCCGATGACTGTGGTCTCGGGGCAGTTAAGACATTTGTGAAGATGAAAGAGATGATAACCTAACATGATTAGCAGACCACTTGGAACTAAGACAAGATCCAAGTGTTCTTCTTTCCATGCTAACACCATCTCTTTTTTTTCTTCTTCTTCTCCTTAGTTTGAAAATAATTGCTTTGTTCCCCCTTTTTTTTTTTTACTTTTATCCAGTTTTTGCAGTGGTTAGGTATCTATAAAGTATGAATATTTATATTGTGTTTGGTTTAAACTAAGTATAGGCGGCTATTGCTCTTGTTGTCCACGGTTGAATTTCATTATGTGGTACACAAGTAACACAATTGCCTGGAAAATGCCCTTTTTTTTGGGGGGGTGGGGGTAGGGGGGGAAATATATTATGTTCAATATTGTTGAACTGTAACTTGGTAAGAAATTGAAAGTAAGCATAGAATACCTTAAATTAATGTAATACGTAAACAGGAAAGGGTAGGACAAAGGTACCACTATTCGGTCGAGTCCGAGCTCGTTTAAAGCTCGTTTACTTAACAAAGGTTCACTAGGCTCGATAATAAGTGTTTTTTTTATGTAATCTTCCAAACTTTTAGCTTAGGTTGGAGCATTAAAGTTCAAGTTTGACTTGTTAATATAGATAAATGAGTTAAAGTCAAGATCATTCGTCGGACTTGTTTGATTTCAGTTCGATAAAGGCTCAAGTTAGAGCTTAAGCTCGACTCGATTTGTTTAGAACTCTACTAAATACTAAAATACATTCCTAACCCCAACACACAAATATAATATGTTGATTGTTGCAAATTTTGGAACCAGCATTTTAGTGCAGCTTTGAACAACTGCGCATATTCATTAAGAACTCAAAAAAGACTCATTCCATTTAAAAAAAAAAAAAAATTAATAAATAAATAAAAAAATTATAAACAAAGGAAAATATAATGAAAATTTTATACCAAGGACAAGTTGGATTATAATGAAGCTTTATTATTGGCAACTTATGTATGAACATTGACCTGATCATAGTTCATTAGTTGGTAATTAACTATCATGTAATTATAAAATATTGGGTGTGAATGCTAATAGGATGTTCTATACTGGAGGTTTAATTAATTTCAAGTTGTGACATTAATGGAGCAAACATGTATTATACAAATAATAATTCAAATACTATTCTCCAGCCTGATTGTACTCCATATTTTTTTAAATATGTAGAGATGTAATCAAATGCATATACAATTTTATTTATTAACAGAGCCGGTCCTATAAAATATTAGGCCCTGGGCCAAACATAAAAATAATGCCCCAACTATTTTGATTTTTTTTATGAAATAAAATAATACATTTTAAATAATACCAACAACAATAAAAAATAAAATTACAATTTTTTAAATATTGCAACATCTCAACAAAGCTAAAAACAAGTAAAATCTAACAAAAGAATCACCGGTACAAAAGATAATGTCTTGGCAAAACTAATATTCCAACATTCTTTTTCTAAAATAAATAATAAAATTTCAATATATATAATGTTACAACCTCTCGATGAAGTTAAAAACAAGTAAAATTTAATAGCAAAATAAATATAAATCCCAAACAGTTATTACAAAGAATGTTAAGTTTCAAATAATAAATTTAAAAATTCACTATCGGTTTCAAATAATAACAAGTTAACACTTAACAGTTATAACAACTTACAACTTAACTTATCCCACACAATAAATATAAATACCAAAGAGCAGCAAAAATTAAATTTAGAAATTCACTAATCCAAGCTAATTACTAATACAGATGAAGTTGAATACTTCCAAACATAGCAAAAATTTAAATCAAGTAAAAAAATAAATTTTTAGTTAATTCAAATATTGAATTAAACAAAAAAAAGTTAAATTCTAAACAAGTAAATAGATAAATAACTCATATAAACAAACAATTGATATAAATAGCCAATTTAGAAATCAAACTAAAATACAAGAATAAGAAACCAAAAGAACAACATTTTGTTCATTAATTAGGGGTCTTGTAATTTTTTTCGCTAGTCTTCATTAATTAGGGACTTTTAATTTTTATTTACATTTTTTTTAATTCATAGATGTTGGCATTTGGAATTGGCAGCCACGCGCCTTTATGCACGGCTTCAAGTATATAAGTGTAGTGAATATGGGCCTTTATTCACATTTAGTTGGGCCCAAACAATAATACATGTATGATATATATACAAAGTAAAGTATATAGCTGGTGCCCCTTTGTTTATTTGGGCCCTAGGCCGTCGCCCAGGCTGCCCTGAGCCTGGGCCAGCTCTGAATTAAAGAGAAATTTTATCAGAAGTAAATAAAAATAAATTTGTCAATGCATTTGTCATGAATTGTTTAATTATTTTGGCTAAAGTACACATTTGATCTTCTTGAAAAATTCATTTCCAAAAAGACGACTCTTTAAAATGAATGCCAGTTATATTCTTCAATGTTTTTTTAACACTAAATCAGTCAGCATTCTCTCGTATAAATGTATGTATAGTTTTATGTTTATCTTGAGTTTATTACAACTTTTGAATATTTATTTAAAATTAATTGTAAACTTTTGATTCACTATTTTATTCTGCTTACGTTTTATTTTATAAACTTTTTATTTATAATTTTAGGTTTATCTTGTGTTTACTACAACTAAAATATTTTTATTAAATAAAAAAAATTGAATTAAAAAAAAAAGCTATAGATAAACAAAAAATAAAGATAAAAACACCGTAATCAAATCCTCATAAATTTCTTGTTTATGGTTTTAGGTTTATCTTGTGTTTATTACAACTCTCAAATATTTTTATTTAAAACTAATTTTAGTTTTAAATTGAAGATAAATAAAGATAAAAAAAACTTAAGATAAACTAAAAAAAACTGAAGATAAACTAAAAATAAAGATAAAAAAAACTAAAGATAAACTAAAAAAAACTGAAGATAAACTAAAAATAAAGATTAAAAAACCAATTAATAAATGTAATTAAGTTTATTATCTATATTTTACTATATGTAAGTTTTTTTATAGTTTAAATCTATCATTTTCTTCAATAATTCTTTTAGATTGTTTTCAGTTTATTTTTAGTTTATTTTAACTTTACTGCATGATGTCTAAAATTTATTTAAACTAATTTGAAACTTTTGATTAATCTTAAATTTATGATCTGTTCTTCCCAAAATCACGAAAAATTAAATGAACAAAAAAATCGAATGAAAAAAAAATTCAATATAAACTAAAAATAAGATTAAAATAAACAATTAATAAACATAATCAAATCATCAATAAAACATAAAATTAACTCTCAAAATCCTTAAAAAACACAAATATAGCCACCTTTTACTCATCTAAACTCAAGATCCGATCACCTAAACTCAAGATCTGATAAAAATTTTCAATCATGGGTAATAATTTTAAAGTCTCTTTCAAATATCAAAGGAAAATTGAGCATAAATTACAAACAAATCCCAGCAATTCATAGGTCCAAAGATCAATCAATGAAATTTCTGCAACAAAAGAAAAAAAAAATTGCTAAACCCTAAATTACCAAACCAAAAATTTAATCTCAAGGCTTTTACATGTTGAGCATCACGGCGGCGGTCGACACCGACAGAGAGAGGAAGCAGCCGGACATAGATCTCGAATCGAAGGTAATGTTGGCGACGGTTAGGATAGCGCTAAAGATGCAAACTTCCCGCCGGTGGTGCGTGGCGAAGGCAGATAAGCTCTTGTGATGTCGGATCCGTTGACAACCTTCAAGAAGTCGGACCTTATGAGTTATGGCGTGCGTTGTCGACGATGGCGTGTTTCTGTTTCTTCGATCTGCCAAAATTGGGGAAGAGGAATAATAGATATAATTTATTTTAATAGTGATAAAGGTGGAATAAATTATTAAAAAATTCGTAAATCTAACTTAATGGGGTGTAATGTGCGATTGATTTTTTTATCTCGTTAAATGGGCAACCTCGAAAGTTCTGCCCGTGCCCTGGGTAATTAATTCAATTATTTTCTCATACCAGCCCAAAACTAATGGATATGTAGATACAAGATTACGAGGGTTGGGTTTGGTGGACCCTGAATCGGCACGGCTTAGGTCCGTGTCGGGTCCATGACCCAGCGGCCCGGGCCGGGCCCGGCCCGGGTCTGGACCCGTCCCAATAAAAAAAAAAAGAAAAAAAAAAGAAAATTTCAAAAACCATACTTTTTTTCGTGTCGGCCTGGACCCGGCCCCGCCCGCCGGGTCATGGTAAAAAAAATCCCGACCTGGGATTGGCCCGGATGAAATCCGAGTCGGGTCCGGACCCGTGGTCAACGGGTCTGACCGGGCCGGGTCCGTGTCGGGTCAATGCCAAGTCCGGACCGGGTCGGCGGGCCAGTTGACCCGTGTCCATGTCTAGATTGTGTTGGAGAGTGTAATAATTAGAAATGTTTTCGAATTACAAATAAATTAATTAACAAAATTACACTCATCATTCAAGAAAATATTTTGTTAATCCACTAGCTACAATATATAAGCATGACTATTTCAAGTAAAATGTAATTGAAAATGCCTTTTTTTTAAAAAAAAAATAATAATAATAATAATAATTAATTTAAAATACAATTTGTCAACATATCCCAATAGGATGTGTGCAACAGCCAAAACACACATGGGTCACTTTTACTTTTGGCCTTTTGCTCTAGTTGTTATAGTGTGATATTTTTGGAAGTGCATACAACATTCAAGGTCCAAAATGATATTAGACTATTAGTATAATGAAATTATCTTTGATTTTCAATCAAAAAAACACAAATACTGAAATAATTGAGCACCCTTGTCATTGTGTAAGTAAAATAAAGATATTGGAGGTCTAATATGTGGAATTATGAAGTTACAATCCTACCAGGACATTATGGGTGTCATTTGAGTCGAGCCGGGTTGAACACTTTGTGCTCAAGCTCATGCTAGTTTAATAAACGAGCCAATTTTTAGTTTTTTACTGATGAATAAAAAAAAAAAGAAAAAAGAGCCAATTCAACTTGAGCTCGGCTCGTCTAAACTCATGAAAGCTCATTCGGCTTGGCTTGAGTCATTTAAATAAATCCAAAATTGTTGGCAAACAAAATATCTATTATCTACGTCCGTAAACAGGGTCAAACTTGACTGTTCAATTTGTTTGGAATCTATAAACAAATTAAAAAAAAGAAAAAGTAAACAAGTTATTCGTGAACGAGCTCTCGATTAGTTGTCTGAGTTCGACTCGTTTAAGTAAACGAACGAGTTGAGCTCGAACTCCCACGTATCAATTTGAATCGTGTTCACGAACAACTCTAAGCTAGTCGAGGATTGCACTTTGCAGCATGATGATGGGGTATTAATATGCAACATGCCAAATGCCATTGTTTTTTGGGAAAGGGACAGTCTTTTTCACCCCACTCCATATTTGACTCAATTATCTTCTAATTCCCTTTACCAAAAGCCCTTTGTACTGCCTTTCAAAAAGTTGAATTTTTTTTCAAATCTTGGTGACTAATTTCACTCAACAAATGTACATAAATGCTAGGCCAGCCTGTATATTGTGTGCTTCAACACACATACAGAGACAAATTACTTAGTTTTTTTCAATTAAGTATTGTGAAAAATGTCTGGAGTCTTGAGCTTGTTGTGTGTATTTTTGTTTTATTTTCATGTGCTTGCCTCCAATTCATGCAGCAAAGAATTGTGATAAGCAGGTATTAATGAGGGCACGTGGCTAGATTGCCTAAGTAAATTATGGTTTGTTTTTATAAGAGATTTATTATATTAATTAATTGTATGGATTATATACAAATGTGTGTTGTGATATCCATATCCTTATGTTGGATGGGGCTGTTGTTTATTTATTATATTTATGGTTGTTTGTACTTGGGCGTGATACAGCAGCTTTACAGCTTGAACATTGAAAAAAAAATAAAAAAATATAGAATTCTAAAAGTAAATAATTGGAAATAGTGAGGGGAGAGTGTGTCATGTTTGTGGATCACAAATGGCAAATTGAATATAAATGTCATTTGAAAAAAAAAAAAAAA